GGGATGTTTTTAGCAAAGATGCTGCAGTGGTTTGCCATTTCCTTCTCCACCTCATTTTACAGATGAGGAAACTGAGGCAAACAGGATGAAGTGACTTTCCCAAGGTCACACAGCTAGGAAGTATTCTGAGGCCAGATTTGAAATCAGGAAGATGAGTCTTCCTGACTCCAGGTCTGGAGAGCTATCTAGCTACCCCATTGAATACATAGTAGTGCCTAAAAAATGCTTATTGACTGACTCACTGGCTCTGATTTGTAAGCTGTGCTGATTTCCATGGTATAAGCACTCACACTTCTACAAAAAATTTAACACTCACCCTCCAGTTGGTTAGGGCCAGCTCCAACATATCCTTATGTGGGACACATGACGAGTTATAAATGTCTACCTATATAGGCCAATAAAATTTAACTCAAAACAGTATCTAACTACATATATTAAAAAAAAAAACCACCACACCATAAATGAGGTGCCACTTCCCAGAATTAACAATGGGCTGAGAACAGGACTGGCCCAGGCCAGCAGTATTGTCCAGTGTGGTGTATTGGATTAAAAGGAAATTGTAAAATATTTAACAAAATAAAAATACAGTAAAACAAAGATATGTTTTATTATTATGTTTATTATATTTTATTTATAATTATAATTGTTTTATTTACTTTATTATCATAGTATCATTATTTATCATGTTTTAAAGCCATTAAAGACATTATGTTTTAAAGCCAAGTCAATATGCGGCCACAGGGATCCTTATGTATGGATTAGTGGACCAGGTTAGTACTTTGAGTTTGACGTCACTGATATATGGGAATAGAAGAAGATGACTTCTTATAAAAGGAAGCCTCTCCTATTTCCATTGACCACAGCTTACTAGGAATTTGTATGTTGGTTTCTCTCATTCTCTAATTGTTTCAAATTCATTTTTTGCATAGGTGACCCCATGTCAACAAATCTCCAATTTGTTGCCTTTTCATGGCATAGTGGAGAGAGCATTGGACTTGGAGTCTGAAAGACTCTCATTCCAATTCTGCTCACATGCCCAGGAGCTGTGTGAACCTGATTTTATTACTTCATTTCTCTGAGCTTCAGTCTTCCCATCTATAAAACAGAGATAATCATGGCCCCTGCCTCACAGGGCTGTTACCAGTGATCAAATAGGATAATATAAGAAATGAGATGACGGATGTAAAGCACTTTGTAGACCTTAGAACACTGCATAATTGTGGGCTACTATTATCAGTATTCTCTCTAGTTACTAGTTACTAACCATATTGAATAATTTCCCCTTTGAATTATTCTGTATTTAATAGTTAATGTTTATATAATGCTTACCAAGTGCCAGACACTGTGCTAAGCATTTTATAATGATTATCTTATTTGATCCTCACAACGGCCCTGAGACATGCTTACCATTATTATCCCCATTTTAGGGAGGAGGAAACTAAAGCCTGGTTTAGTGACTTGCCCAGGATCATACAACCTGTGTCTGAGACTGGATTTGAACTTGGATCTTCCTGACTCCAGGCCCAGCTGCTGTGTACGTACTGTGCCATTTTAGGTATTTTCTCACTGTGCACTGCTCCAACTGGAGGAAGTTCTACTCTGTCTAGGAAGAAGTTTGGAAATACCTGGTTCAGAGGAGCAGCTAGGTGGAACAGTAGATAGAGCACTGGCTCTGGATTCAGGAGGACCTAAGTTCAAATCCGGCCTCAGACACATAACACTTATCAGCTGTGTGACCCTAGGCAAGTCACTTAACCCCATTGCTTAAGCAAAAAAAAAAAGAAAAAAGAAAAGAAATACGTGGTTCAGTTGGTGAATTTAATGGGTGATGGAGAGCAGAATGTCACAAGATATATGTGTATGGTACAGGGGAGCAGAGGGAAAGGAAAGGTAGGCAGAAGGCAAGAGGACAACAGCTTTCGCCTTGATGCCCACCACATGCGGGAGACTGGAAAGAACATTATCTTTAAATTGAAACTGATGTTACCAGGGATCTCCTAATTACCATATCCAATGGCCTCTTCTCAATCCGCATCTCATCTTCCTTGACTTCTCTGCAGCCTTGGACCCTATCGACCATCCTTCCTTCTTGGGTACTTTCTTTTCTCTGGGTTCTTGAGACACTTCTCTCTTCCTCGTTCTCCTCCTACCTGCCTCCTCAGTCTTTTTTTTTTTTGCTGATGCATTATTGTGTCATTCAGTCAATAAGTATTTTATACCAACCAACTAACTCTTCCTCCCTCTCCTCTTTTCTCTTTATGTTCTCACTCAGTTATTTCTACCATCTCTATCTTATGACTCCCAGATCTTTACATCCGGCACATATTTCTTTCTTGAAGTCTAGTCCTGCATCACAAATGGCCTCCTGAATACTCACATCTGGATGTTCCATACACATCTCAAACTCAACATGTCCATAACAAAACTCATCATCTTTCCCCATCGAGGGCCCCGCTGTCCTCCAGTTACCCAGGCGTTAGCTTTTGGTGTCACTCCTGACTTGTCATCCCTCTCACCCCACTTATCCAACGAGTTGCACAATCTTGTCCTTTTGAGCTCCATAGCCACTTTCATTCGTGTCCTCTTCTCTCCTCTCACACAGCCAATCTCTCCAGGTCAGACTCAGCTCTCTCCCTTGGGCTAATGCAGTGGTCTTCTACTGGATTCCTTGCTTCCAGCCTCTCCCCATCCATCCACATGGAAGAGATGTGCTGAAAGGGTAAGTTTGATTATATTCCCCACCCAACAAACTCATTGGCTCGCTGTCCCCTCCAAGATAAAATATATGCTCTTCCTTTTGACATTTAAGGCTCATCACAACCTGTCTCCTCTCTACAAAGTCATACGGAGTATTTGTCCCTGACCTGTGGTAGAGCCTTCCAAGCTCATATAGGTCTGATTAGCCATAGTCAGACTCACTGAACCTTGCCTCCAACATGGTGATGTCATTTGGGTCATCTTTGAGGGCAAAGGACAGCAACCAATACATTTTGCCCCTCCACAAAAGCAGCTGATCAGCCTCCTTCCTCCCTTCTGCCTCTTGGAATCTCTGATTTCCTTCAAGACAGGGACCAAGTAACTGGTTGTTGATTAATTGATGCCCACTGGGGAAAAAAAGCCCTTTCCATTTCCCTCCCCATTCTTCAGGGCCCACCTCATATGCCACTCCTCCATGAAGTCCTCTGGGACCACTCTGGTCCACATCGGTCATTCCTAACTATCTTCTGTTAAACACATTTCATGTGTCACCCATTTTGGCACAAACATATACACTATTTCATGTTGTTCTTTAGTTGTTTCATGTTTCTTGTCTCTCTGGGGAGGTGGTAAACTACTTAGCAATACTGGCTCTGTATTTGATTTAAGGGGAGGGAAGGGGGAGAAGAGGAGAGGAGAGGAGAGGAGAGGAGAGGAGAGGAGAGGAGAGGAGAGGGAGAGAGGGAGAGGAAGGGAAGTAAAGGGCGGGGCGGGAGAGAGGTAGTGAGATATCAGGCAGCAAAGATGGGACCTTAAACTGAGAGCTGGTCACCTAGATCATTATGAGGTTCATGAACCTGTCTTAAAAAAATTTTAATTCATGGTATTTTGACATAATTGGTTTCCTTGTAATCCTGTGTACTTTATTTTGTGTGCCTTTAAAAAACATGATTCTGAGAAAGGGGCCATAGGTTTCCCCGGACTGCCAGAGGGGGTCGATGACACACACACAAGAGGTGAAGGACCCCTGATCCACTCGAGCTCCCTCATTTTACAGATGAGGGAATCAAAGACCACAGAAGGCAGTGACTTATGCAAGGTCACACAGGGAACAAGTAACTGTACCAACCGTGAGAACTGAGATGCCCGGGCTGCAGAGCCAGTCACGCTTCTCACTAAGCCAGAAACCTAGGTCTCTCTCAGTATTGTAAAGAAGACTGCATATAGCCTCAGGCAATGAAATCTGCTCTCTTGGCTGGTGCTGTTACCAAATAAATAAATAAACAAATAAAACGCACCTCTTCTTTGGAAAACTACAGGACTCCGCACCGCCTCAGGCCTCGTTCTTTTTTTTTTCCCCTAAAACGAGCCAGTTTGAAGAAGCCTCTCGAAGGGGTCTTTTATGGTCTCTGTGGAGATAGTTGCTGTGCACCTCCCAAATACCATCGCTGACATTTAAAAGGGAGCTTTAAAGGTTTGCAAAGGGGAAGAGGGGGTAGGAAGTAGACCTGTGCTTTCGCTAAGTGTAGGGAACTCTCCAGAGGAAATTTCTTCTACCGGTGCAGATCAGTGCTTTCTCCGCAATTTCTAGTCTTAGATAATTGCCTAGAGCACTGAGAGGCTAAACACCGGGGCGCCCCTAGGGACTCGAACCGGGTCTTCCCCCTTCGGGAGGTCGGGCCGGCTCTGCCTCTGGGTGTAAAGCACCAGCACTTCAGTCTATCTGGGTCTTAGCACCGCTCCGATGCGGTAAAGTGTTGGGATCCCCTTAGTAGCAGGGGTTAAGTGAAGGCTCGGGTGCCTTGCCCAGGGTCCCAAAGCAAACGTCAAACTCGTGGAAGCAGGACTTAAATGAAGGTCTTTCCAGAGCACAGGTCTCGCGCTCTGCTTGTGCCCAGAACTGACCCGGCCCTTATTTCTTTTTGATCGCTAAGCCCAGCCTAGCGCAGCCCAGGCGGGAGCCCGGGCTCGCTGGCCGGGCTGTGCTGGTTGGAGTCTTTCTACGCCTCTAAGGCTATCCTCCTCTCTCCTCTCCCTCCCTCCCCTCTCCTCCCGTCCCCTCCCTCCCTCCTGATACAATGACTGGACGAGATCAGCGCATCAGCCGAGTCTCATTGGCAGCAGCCGCCCCAGCCGGGGGAGAGGCAGCGGGCGGGGGGGGAGCTGGGGAGGAAGAGAGAGGGAAGGAAGGAAGGAAGGGAGGGAGGGAGGGGGAAGGAAGGAAGGAGAGGAGGGGCAGAGAGGGAGAGTAATAAAGTGCGCTCAGTTGAATCAAAGGGAGGAAGCCCTGGGAGAGGCGAGGCTGCGGCGGCGTCAGGGGCAGGGCGTGATGCGCGCGGCGGATGGGAGATGCCCAGGGATCCAGCTGCCGGGGGAGCTGGGCAACCTAGTGGCCACCCTCACGTGCTGACTGGGACTGCCGAGGGGAGAGCGGAGAAAGAGAGCGAGGTGGCGGCGGCGGCGGCGGCGGGAGCAGCCCGAGTTGGGTCTCGGGGAGAGGACTTGAGGGCTTGCTCCAGGGCAGCGCCGACGTGCTGGGCTGATGGAAGACAATAAGTAACTAGCGAGCGAGGAAGCGAGCGCCTGCCCCCGAGGGAGCCGGAGAAAAAGAAGAGCAGGTACGTTGGCTGCAATGCCCCTATTCCCAACGGGCGGAGATGGCCCAGCCAAAGCTGACGAGGCGGGCTCCTGTGGGCTGGCAGGCGCACAGGGCTGGGCTTGCCGACTAGAGAACGCTCCGGACCTAGCAGAGCCATTGGCCGCTGACTGCGGCGCTCGCTCCGCTCGTCCCCCGGGTTGCGGACGGCTTCGGGCTAGGGAAGATTCCTCCCTGCACAGCCCACCTCGAAGCCCCGCCCCGACCAGCCTCTCTCTCGGAATCCCCCTCCCTCTTCTCTTCCTCCCCTCTTGCCTGCCCCACTGCTGACCGCCCCGGGGGCTGACAGTGGATATCCCGAACCGCTCCGCTCCAACCCTCCCTCCCCACCCTAGCCCTGAGACTTTGAGCCTTGTGTGTAGATAGGATGTTGAAGGGGTTGGGGGGCGTTTGGGGTTCTGGGTTTACAGATGAGCCGCCGGGGTGCACGTGCTTTGTGGTCCCTCAGGTTAGGCTAATGGATCGCAGCTCAGTTTGGGGGAAATGTCCAAAATGCACTGAGGGGAGAGAGACCGATCCTGGGAGCGCGGAGACTAGGGCCCCGGGTTTGCTGAGGCAGCCTCACTGACACCCAGCGGCGTGTCAGACCTGAGCAACTCCGGAGTTTGTGAGGGCGCGTTTGTAACCCCCCAGCCCCCTGGAGATCACTGTGTGCCATTCAGCTCCTACTGTTGGAATAAGATTGTGATGAACCCCCTGGGTTATAGGCGAGCACTCTAGTACAGTGCTATACCCTGCAGGATCCCACTGTAACCTGAGCTGGGTCTGGACTCATTCTGAAACCCCGGGCTCGAGCTCGCATCCGAGCTCCACATTCGAGCCTAGGGAAGGTGCCCGCAGAGAGGGCTCTTTTGTGTACTTCCAGATGTTCATCCGCCCTGGAGCTGGGTGGGGTAGGAATCCTCCACATTCCTGCGATCTGTTAGTACTTGTTTATTTAAAAAAAAAGAGAGAAGAAAGAAGAAGAAGAAGAAGAAGAAGAAGAAGAAGAAGAAGAAGAAGAAGAAGAAGAAGAAGAAGAAGAAGAAGAAAGAAGAAGAAGAAGAAGAAGAAGAAGAAGAAGAAGAACAAAGACCAACTCGGATGAACTTGGCATACCTATCCAGCTCTGCTTATGTGCTAAGTCCTCAGCAGATGGTGCTGAGAAGTTTGCTTGGGGTGTGGGAGGGCACAAAGATGACTAGTGAGTGATGACAGTCCTATCCCCTCCGGAAAGCTGGTTGATCCCTCGGTAGCTTCTTGATAACCTAGAAACTTATCAGCACATAATCCCATAACCCCCCTGAACTCACTTTGTATGATGTATGACAGGTTCTTCACTGTCCCAAAGGGAATTAATCCAGAATGATGGACAGCTCCCAAAGGAGGGGCAAGGGAGAAAAATCAAGCAACTTCCTTTCCGCAAACTTCTTCCGAGTTAAAAATATTAATGCAGATTCATTTTTTAAAATTTAACTATTTTTAAAAAGAAACAAATGAGCTCGTGCAGTGCTTTGCCTTCCTTAGCCTGGAGGGTCTTATCATTTATTCATGATCTGTCCTCGCCCAGCCTTAATCAAGTGCTTTATTTGCTTAAATTCCGTAATGGAGGGAGAATGTATTTGAACAATATTATGATGAAAAATAAAGAAATCCTCCTGAAACAATTAAGGGTAGATAAATTGTCCTCTATTCAGCAAGAAAGTTTCCAGGATGAGCTATTCCCAGGCAGAAAGAAGAGACTAAACTTTAATCTGTTTGGAAACAATCAATTCAAATCTCAGCCTGACAGCAAAATTAATGGGTTTCTTAAACACTCAAATTAATTTTCTCAAATGTAATTATCCCCCAAACAAGTGGGAGGAGTTCACTTAGAGGCCTTCCAAAGTATAAAGGCAGTGAAAGTTTTATTAGTCATTTCATCTGTCACTAACTGAGGGTTATTTCAAGGGGAGAGCAAGGTGGCACTCAGGCTTTGGAGTCAGAGAACTTAACTTCAAATGATGGGGTGTGGAGTAGGATGGAATTAAGAGAGTTTGATTAGGAGTTAGAAATCTGGCTTTGCCACTTACCTCCTGGGGCTCTGATTCCTCATCTGCAAATGGGGGGTTCAGTCATTTCAGTCCTGCCTGACTCTTCATGACTCCATTTGGGATTTTCTGGGCAGAGATACTGCAGTGGTTTGCCATTTCCTTCTCCACCTCATTTTACAGATGAGGAAACTGAGGCAAACAGGGTGAAGTGACTTAGCCAGGGTCACACAGCTAAGTGTCTGAGGCCAGATTAGAATTCAGGAAGAGGAATCTTTCCACTTCACTCTATCCACTTCACTCTATCCACACTATCCACTCTATCCATTTGCTCCTGCAAATGAGGGTTGTTGGATCTCTATTATCCTTTCTTTCTAAACAGATGATCCTAGGATCCTAAGTGGAAGATGCAGACCCTGGGCAAGTCATTTAACCCTGCTTGCCTCAGTTTCCTCATTTGTAAAAAGTGAACTGGAGAAGGAAATGGCAAACCACTCCAGTATCTCTGCCAAGAGAATTCCAAATGGGGTCATGAAGCATAAGACACCTGACTGAAACTACTGAACAGCAACAGCAATAGAAACATAGAGATGGAAGGGAGCTTGCTAGCCACCCAGTCCAACCGACAACCAAGCAAAAATACCATACAATGTACCTAGCCAGTGTTGTCCAATCCAGTCTTTGCTTTGAAGACCCAGAACAAGAAGCAACCCATTCCCCTCATAGATGACTCTGATCGTTAGAAAGTTCTCCTTACATTCAGACTGAACATGTCAATTTGCAAACTCGTAGGAATATCGATTTAGACCTAGAGCGAGCCACAGAGGTCACTTAGTCCAACCCCCTCTTGCCGATCAGATCTAGAAATATGAAATCTCTTGTCCAGTGGTAACAAAAGACTGAGCAGGTTTTCAGCCCACATCTGGTGACTACTTCTTCAATTTCATGCTGCTCCCAATTTGGGACCAAACAGAATGTATCTAATCCTCTCTTCAGGTAACAACTCTTCAGATACTTGAAGACAATTAGCATTTCTCCCCTGAGTCTCCTCTTCTCCAGATTAAACATCCTCAGTTCTTTTGGCTGATACTCATATAGCATGAACTTGGTGCTCTGAGTTCTGGTTACCCTAATCTGGACATTCTTCAGCTTATCAATTTCCCTCCTACACTGCAGTGTCCAGAACTGAACCCAGTCCTCCAGACCTGTCTGCCAAGGGGCCCGGTGTTTGCTTTTCACACCTCAGATATGATCAAGGTTCTGCACTGTACTGAGGAATCCAAAAAGATAGTTCTGACTGAGTGACAATACCAATAAGCTCGCTACATGGCAAGCTGTTAAAAATCCATGTGCTATCTTACCCAGCCAGCCCTGATTGTCTAGAATTGACTTTCCATCTGGAAGCTCTGAAATTCCACATGGTAATCTTACAGACATTAGAGACTTAAGTGAATTCTTGAGGTTTAAGTTGCAGGTAATTTTTCCGCCTTTGATGAATCCATTAGCAAGAGCTGATCATATCACCAAAGCAATAGTTTTTACACTCTGGGCTGTCTCTTCAGTGTGTGTGTGTGTGTGTGTGTGTGTGTGTGTGTGTGTGTGTGTGTGTGTGTTGGGGGGGAGGGGCATGAAATAACTCTGAACATCCCAAAAGTCAGTCAGATGTTACTCAGACCCTGTGAATTCTATAAATCTGTTTTTACATGTGGCTTTCTCTTTGTATGTTCTAGAAATTTGATTTTAATTTTAAAATCTTCAGGCTCTCAAGAGGGTGTGTATGTGTGTGTGTGTTCCTGAGCTTAAAGTTTCTAAGTTAAAGAGGGCATAGCAACGGTGCCAGATTAGCTGCTGACATGTATGTAATTTAAGAGGTATTCCAATAATTAGAGGGGCAAAATTTCTTATATTCCTTGGCTTCTCCCCCAAAATAACTCGTCACCCAGTAGATTTGTATTCATTCTCTACTTCACTCCGGGCTTCATTTCAGAATTGTTTTTTGTCATTCATTCCCCTTTGACTATAAGATCAAGATATCTTGGAAGAATAGAGCTGAAGTTTTAGGCTAAGTAGGTCTGATTATTCCCATGACATTGTCTCTGGGAAAATCTTAGTTTCCCCTTTAAGCATTTGGCAACAGCATTCTATAAATTAGGAGTTCTTATCCATTTTTGTGAGTCCTGAACCCCTTTGGCAGTCTGGAGAGGCTTGCAGATACCTTTTCAGAAGAATGTTTTTATGTACATGAAATAAAATACGTAGTATTATAGAGGAAACCAATTATATTGAAATACAGTATTCAAAATGCTCAATTTTTTTAAAAAAAAGTTCGTGGACCCCAGGTTAGGAACCTTTGTTCTAAGCAATCTCAAAACTTAGTGAAATTGGCTGATTATTGTTGGATCAAACTGACATTAGAGCTGCAGGACTCAAAATTAAACAGACTGACAATGTCAAATATCAAAACAAAAACTTTGTTGTTAGCTGAGTCCCACACCCATCCCACATACATGACTCTGGACTCCCTCTGGAATCTTTCCTGCCCCAAGTTCACTGTGGGGGTGTTTGGGAAACTCAGAAGCCACAAAAACTGTAAAATGAGGCATCACAGTAAAGTGGGAAGCCCACTGTGTCCTGGGGGCAGGATCCCTGCTTCTTGTGCTGACTCTGCCACCCACGGCTAAAATGAGCTTACCTTCTTGGGACCTCAGTCTTCTCTTCCATAAAGTGAAGGGGTTGGATTTGGTCTAGAGGGTTTTTTTTTTCCTATCTCTAAGATTACATGAATTACAAAATCACTAACAGATGTAATTCAGTGGAAGAAAAGAAAGAATCCAACAAAATGGCCAACAGGGCCAAAAGTGAGAGAATTTTGGACAGCCCTAGAAGAGGGAGACATGGTAGAAAATTGGGGAAAGTACTGGATTTGGAGTCAGAGTACATAGCCTTTCTGAGG